CACTTAAGGCCTTAAAAACTTATTTCATAATTGATTATAAATAACAGTTATTATGTCTATTGTTTTGTGATGTGCTGTCGGCCTATGGCCAGCCTAATAGTGCACAGGTATGTCATACCTCATATCAATATATTAAACTTTAAATTAATGTATAATTTATTAATTAAACATGGTTCTAATATTAGTCAAGTCAGACATGTCTCATACAGATCCTCAATGGATAGGCTGCTGGTGGATGGGCTTCATAATAATCGGTGTACTTTTAATAGTATTTTCGATACCACTTATGATATTCCCGTCACGAATGCCAACGAACTCGACTTCAGTGACCAAATCGACCGAAAAAGACACAATGTTTAAGTCATTGAAGAGAATATTTAGAAATCCTATATTTATGTTCAACACGTTTGGCATGTGTTTCCGATTATTAGGTTATTTGGGTTTTTATTTATTTAAGCCTAAATACATTGAGGCACAGTTCAGAAAGTCGGCATCTGATGCCAATTTCTGGACCGGAATTATCAGTATTCCCACAATGGCTGTCGGCATATTCATTGTATGTTCTAGTGTTTTATCATCATTATTATATTTTGTGCTAATTATTAATTACGTATTTTTGCAATTCAAGGGTGGATTTACTTTGTCAAAAGTTCGGCCATCGGTCCGCAAAATAGTAATCTATATATTTCTAATTGAATTGTTCACAAATGTAGGCCTTATTTCACTTATGTATATCAAGTAATTACAGAATCATATCAATTAACAGCGAATTTATATTATAATTTTGTGCTTTTTTGTGTCAATTATGTATTGTGTGCAACAGATGTCCGCATCCAATCTTTACTCAAACAGCTATTATTAACTCCAAGTGAGAAAAAAACTTTAAAACTTGAAATAACTCCTAATCAATGTGTGTAAATATGTGTTGAATTAATTGTTTTATAGTTTAGAGTTGACGGCTCAGTGTAATAACAAGTGCGGCTGTACTACGAGTGCATTTCAACCGGTCTGCGCCGACGATCATAAGTCCAACTATTTTAGCCCCTGTTATGCCGGATGTTCTCAATATGATCCACAAAAATCGGTTCACAATTAACTTAATGTTAGATTTATTTAATTTTTAAAAAAATATTTTTTAATTTAAATATTAAATAGACATTTGGGGAGTGTTCGTGTGTTGGGGGCAACAGTCCTATTGTAACGACTGGCTATTGCGATAACAATTGCAATAAATTTCCCATTTATATAGCATTGTTAGGAATTGCGGGCGTTATTCAGTCCACGTCTAAGATTGGCGACACTTTAATCACTTTAAGGTTTGCCTTTAATTTATTGTCAAATCTATTTAAATGTTTTTTTTACAAGATTTTATATTATAATTATATGTTTAGATGCGTTGAAACTAGAGATAAAAATTTCGCGATGGGTATTATCGGTAGCTTTTTGGCAGTTTTTGGTAAATTTACTTTTAATTAAGTTAAATATTAAATTACAAATTCTTAACTAACTTTTATAAAAATTATTTATAACAAACTAAAAGTATTCGTGTTAACTTATATACAAACACACATTTTATGCATTTTAACTAAAGTAACTTTACATTAGAAATATATTGAACATGATAATTATTTGATAATATATTGTTAGCATTAATCCCATATCCATTGGTGTTCGGGACGATCACAGACATGGCGTGTATTGTGTGGAACTCGTCCTGTGGTAAGACAGGGAACTGTTGGCTCTATGACATCGACAAGTTTAGGCATGTGTTTAATCGTCCCATTTATGCAATTAATGTTCGCGTTCTCTATTTAAATGCTATTTAAGGCGTTAGTAGACAAACAATGGCAATGCAAACACAAAACTATATTTATTTGTTATTTAAATTTAGACATGTTTTACGACACACTAAACAAAGAGCTAATAAATTATTTTACACAACAAATACACAGATATTATCTGCATTTGTCGGCATTTGGCCTCATATTTATCGGAACGCTATTTATTTTTCCGATCATTTTCTACGCCAACCGTATGTCAGACCTGTTTGAAGACGACGACAGCAATGATATTAATGTTTACGAATTGGGATCTGTTAACAATGGCTACAATAGCAATGGATCAGTTGATAGCGCCAACAATAATGGCATAACTGTTGTGAAGATAATCACAACTTTGAGAGAAAATGAACGAAAGAGTAGTTTAACTGATTATGAATTGGTTCACAGGAAGAGTAGTTTTGTCGCCCTTTAAGTCATTATTTAAATTATATATTTAAAAGCAACTCTAATTCAATATTAATGTATTTACAAATGTTTGTTATTAAATATAAATTATTTTGTTATATCAGTACAATTAATTAAATCTCTCTCTTTCTCTCTCTCTCTCTCTCTCTCTCTCTCCAATCGCTGTTTTATACGTTTGGTTGCAATAAAAGCCATACTTCACCACCGATTTGTGACTCTCTCTCTCTCTCTCTCTCTCTCTCTCTCTCTCTCCCATAAAGCAACTTTATATATAGTTGAGGATCAAAACTTGAAAGTGTGACTTCTGATCTAGAGTATCAATGCTTGGTTTGTATATAAAATACCATTGAATTACTGTAATGAGAAAGAGTGGCAATTGACAAAATATAAGAAGTTTTTAATAAAGTAATCAAACTTTCTTTATTTAGTAAGAAAATAAATAACAAGTTTATAAATAATTGTTGTATTACTTGAGGTTATGATCTCTATTAGAGCCCATACTGTGTACGAGGAGTGCACTTCATATGTCAAGCGATTGTTTGTGAAGACGATATCAGGTTCTGAATACCAAAAATTAATTTCTATGCAATTTATTTACAGACACACCGACTGATTGAACACAAAAAATATTGCTAATATCCATTGGGATATTTTTAACTCCAACCCAACATTTAAATTGACTTTTGTTTAAGTTGATCACGATGTTTTTTTAAAAATATCTCGACCTTATAGAAAATTATATGAGGTAAAATATCTAAATATTTACTGTTTGGTTAAGAATTTGCATTGTTAGATGTAATACAGATGAATATGCTAAACAATTTCTGTATTCCCTTTTAAAGTTATTTAAAATTAAATCATGGTTAGTTAATTACATAATGTGAACACCATGTTAAAATTACAAACGAGTTATGAAATTTAATTGTATTTCATTTACAGCAATAATTAGCACAACAATTAACTTAATAATTAAAACTACTGTTTTCTAAACGAGACTTTTAACAATAAATTGACGATTAAATGCAATCAATATAACAATAATAAGTTGTAATTCTGTTTTAAATATAAACTAAATT